CAAAATCAAGTTGTGTGGATGGGAGGCAATGCTGTCTTAGTTTTATCACTGCTGTCTGCTCCACTGCTCCTTTTGTCAATGAAGCAATGAATCATGATGTTCTATGGTCCAATTCTTGCAAAATTAGTGAGGTTAGTTTCGGTTATCAGTTAAGTTAACCTATAGGATCTTGTGTTTAAAGATCTCTTTTCCCTTCCCTTCCCTTCCCTTCCCTTCCCTTCCCTTCCCTTCCCTTCCCTTCCCTTCCCTTCCCTTCCCTTCCCTTCCCTTCCCTTCCCTTCCCTTCCCTTCCCTTCCCTTCCCTTCCCTTCCCTTCCCTTCCCTTCCCTTCCCTTCCCTTCCCTTCCCTTCCCTTCCCTTCCCTTCCCTTCCCTTCCCTTCCCTTCCCTTCCCTTCCCTTCCCCTCCCCTCCCCTCCCCTCCCCTCCCCTCCCCTCTCTCCTCTCTGGTTTTATTCTATTCAATTCTGTATTATGAGTTACAACGAATGAGCACAAAATGAAAGAACAGTTTTGTGTGCACTGAGAAATGGCATTTCACATTACTCATTTACTAGGAGAACAGTAAGAAACACGGGTCACGTGACATTTATGAATGAAGTCAAGGCAATTGGCACATGCCAGCAAATGAAGCATTCAGTTCCTGTCAGCCTAGTGGCAAAACAGCAGTTAAATAAACAATAAATAAGCATTCTGAGCCCTGCCTGTTAATATGTTCTTGAGCTTTGTAACTTTATTGACAAATATTTCCAGTTCAGTGATTCTTAGAGCTCAGAAAACAGCCTGAACCAGCCACATGCACAAGGAGATACATCTTAGGAGCAGGTCTCCTAAGACACACTGTGAGAAACCAGATAGAGGAGCAGATAGTTTTTAAGCATGTTAGATCTGTCAGTGTAGCTCAGGTGTACAGCTGTTAGCTAACTGAAGCCCTGAGTGTGGAATCAGGGAGTGGTTGGTGTGTAAATTGGCTTCAGGTTGAAATGGAGCCCTGCAGGTCATCTAGTCCAACCCTACTGTTGTGGGCAGGATACTTTTCACTAGATGGAGCTGCGCATGGCTCCCTTCCAGCCTGGCCTTCCAGGGATGGGACATCCATAGCTTCTCTGGGCAATCTTTTCCAGTGCCTCACCACCCTCATCCTAAAAGATTTCTCCCTTACATCTAATAATAAAAAAAAAAGTCTTTTTTGTTGGACTTCTACAGTGAGTCAAACTTCTAATGCTACTAACTGCTGTTGACCAGATTAACCATTTTGACTCTTAAACTTTGATATTAATCCACAATAATTGGCCAAGAAGGACTACTGAGTTAATTTTTTTACAACTGGTTGTAAATAGGAATAAAAAAGAAAATGTGTTGAATTTACAGTTAGTAAACTGGTTGTATAACATGAGCAAGTTGTTCATGTAACTACAGATGTTTTCAGCTAGAGATGACCAATATGGGAATTGCTTACTGTAACCAAGAGCTTTGTTCTCTAAATATGCTGTAATGACTACTTGGAAGAAATAACATCGTACTTCCAGACAGCTCTTTGCATGGTCCTTGCAAACACTCATTTTTGATGGTTACAGCAGACAAATTCATTATGTCATTGATTTAAATACAGAAGCAGCTGACTTAAATAGAAGTCAGGAGTTTTAAAAGTGTTAAATAAGCAGAAGGGGGAACCTCTGGCATTATTAAGAGAAACAAAAAAAAAGTTTTTTTTATAAAGAAAGTACATCTTCTCATATGTCATTAAACTGAATGCTGTAAAGATTTTCCAAAGAACTCCATGTGACCATACTTTGCACTGTATAGCAAATGAAATGAATGTGTTGGAAAAGTAGAACCTATACTTGTATTAAAATTAATCCTTGATGTTGATGTTCGAGCAGTCCCTGGTAGTCAAGTTCTTTGAGACTGGACCTGTGCTTGTCTCTCTGTATGTAAGCTGTTTGAAATTTGCAGCTGGATCGCAGACAGTGGTGTGGTGGAGCAGGGTAGACAACTCTGAACAGCTGCTGTCAGTGTGTGTCATTCTTTCATGTGACTCACAGCAGGTCCTGAGGGTAGGGGACTGCGATGCGTAGAGCAACATCGTTCAATCAGAGGATTGTAGGGTAATTCAGGCTGGAAGATACATCAGAGAACTGTAGTGCAAGTTGCTGTTCAATGCAGGATCAGCTCTGAGGGCAGATCAGGTTGCACAGGGCTTCATCTAGTCTGGTCTTAAAGAACTCCAAGGACAGAGACTGCAAACCAGTCTGTGCAACGTGTACCACTGCTTCAGTATGTAATGAAGAAAAGCTTTTGCTTCAGTTGATGCCTACTGTTCTTCATGTTTCTTGAAAGACTTTTTTGTAGACACCATTCGGTTGCTTTTGGTTTATGCTTAATGTGCAGTTCTTTACTCTTTCTATCTCACTTGTTTTATTCCCCTTGTAGAAGAAAGGCTCAAAGTCTGCAAGCTGAACTTAGCTGCCAGTAATGTAAACTTTATCTGGAATCTGATTAGGGACTTCTGAAGTTCAAGATAGCAGTCTCCAACTCAAGGCATCAAAATCTGCTGCCCTTTTAATCTAGCAGTCAGACAGATTGCAGAGGCCATGAGAGAGAGAACTCTGGGGAGACTGAGAAACTGGCAGAGTCAGAAGGGATCTGTTGACTTGAAATTGCAGTTGAGCATTCCTTGACTGCTAAATAAGATGCTCAGCGAGATCGATGCATTTCTGTTTGGAGCAGCTTCTTTTGCCTCCTCACAGATGTGATTTTCCATTCCAGGCATGCTGTATTTCAGCTCTCATATGTCAGGCTCATTTTTCTCTGGCTTCAGTTATTCTTAGATGTTTTAGCATAGTCAAGACACGCCAGTACAACTTTGGCTTTGTGATTTAGTAACATCTCTTGTGGGCTACTCAGGGCATGTATCATGAAGTAGCAAATGTGCAGGACACAGGCTGCATTTCTTATGCTGCATACTTTAGAATTGGTAGTATGAGCAAGGAAGAGAAAGTAAGGGAATTAAAGAAATAGAAAATGACTGGGATGAGGGGGACAAGAAAATGAGCAGCAAAAAATATTAAAGAGAGCCCCCTCTTCCAGCTTAGGCAACGAGGTGAATGAAAGTGGGTACAGGAGGCATCATTCCCTTTCCCTTCTCTTGAAAAACAGTTCAAGCCACTGCCTCTGCACGCTCTGTAAGAATCATCTATGTTTCTGCACCCTGTTCCCCCTTCCAGAAGGGAAGATAGCAGCATCTTCAAGTTCTGTTATCAAGCGTAAACTCCTGTTTCTCCATCATGAATGGATTTGGCCTTTAGATGTCTTTCTTCTCATCTTCCTGCCAAGTGCGTAGATGGGATAGCTAATGTATACTCTTGCAGCATATCAGCAAGTGATTTTAATTCTATATATAGTAGATGTGATCCAGGAGAGAGCCAGCAAAAAAAGTTAGGTAGTAATGCCACTCCTTGAACTGGCCTCCACAGCACACCAAGATTATTGGAGGCACAGATTCATACTATGGTATGCTTGTATTTAAATGAAACATAAGGTACTCTGCATGTGGCCAAACCATGGAGTCTAAGAGCATACCACAGCTAACAACTAATAGTATTAGAACTTTGTCTTAAACTGTAGAAGCCGCTGGGTTACTGCTGTATTAAACACAAGATGCCTGATTCAGTCTCTGTATATCTGATATTGTGAAGATATAGAAAGATACAGAAATAAATGTATTTCTTACTGTCTCATTGTTACTATTCTTACCTTCTTCCTCCACTGATGTTACAATCATGTGAGATCTAATTTAGGCATTAATCCCCAAAAGCCCTTGTCACTTTGCTGTCTATTATGTGCCAATCCCACACCTGTGGTGCTGTATAAATGTCAGTAATACACCAATATGCTCATTTGTTATATTTTCTGAAGGTGGAAATCCATCTGGCTTGTGTATGTCAAGTGAAATGGCGTGGAAAGGCCTTGCTGTTCAGGATTTGTGATAGTTTATGAGCAGCTGGGAAACGACAGGAAAAAAAAAATAAGAAAACTGGACTTGCTTATTGTTCTTGTTTATCGTTTGAACAAAGACATCCAGCCATGTGGCCGCATGCTCAAGTTCATGGCTTTGAGTGGAATAGAATCCCCAAGTCTTGCAACTCTTCTGTATCTCAAGCCTTCTTGAAAGGCCCTTCCTGCTGTGACTGGGATGCTAAGCAGCCTTTCCAGCTATTTCTGATTATTTTCCTCTCGGTACAGTCTGAGACATTTGATTTACTTGATACTTGGAGCACTGCCGTTTCTTTCACAGGATCTATCTCCTTTGGACCTTTGGGATTGAGCAGTAAGAACAGCGTGCATGTCTGGGTTCCCAGAAAAGCTTTCCTGCCTTCATCCTGAGAAGCTGTCTCGTGGGCAGGCCCTCAGTTCCAGAAAGATCTGCCTTGGCTTCAGTGGCAGGGAGAGAGATACAGAGCCAGGGTAAGTTTCCACAAAAAGAATTGGCTTTTCCCTGGGCTGAGGCTGCATCCTTTCCCACGAAATACTGATGGATTTGGTAGAATTAGACTGTCAAAACTAGATCCGAGGGACCTCGTAGTCCAAAATGTAAGAAGCTAAAGGATGTAGGAAATCCTTTGGCAACGTATCTAAATTGGAAAGTGACATCTGGAAGTGTCCCCATTGGCTAATTTAAGTGTTTATTGCTTGCCAACATAACCACAGATTACAAAGAGGAGCGATTCAATGCTTCCTCAGTAAAGAGAAAGTAATTTTCCCTTCCTCCATTTCATCTTGCGGTCACTTCCACAGATTGTGGTTTCAGCTTGAAACAGGAACTTTCAAAAGCAGAAAGTTCTGATAATTAGTAGAAAATGTTTTTAAAAATAATAGTTAAGCACTGCTTGCTGCACAGCCTTTGTTCTGATACACAGACTGTCATGTGGGGCGGTTTGCTGTGCTCAGAAAATCCTCCCATTCTCATCGCCGGGTTGCAGCTTCCTAGGCAGGACATGAGCTGAGGATCACTGAAGCTAGAGGCAGCCCTGGTGCCGAGGGGTGAAAGAGGAGGGGGAGAGAAAGGAGGAGAAAGAAGGCAGCAGCTTGCCTGCCCTCTTTGCCTGTCACAGAGCTGCCCGTATGGCCAGGAGCCGGGCCACCCTCTGCACATGGCTGGGCTGCCCTGCGCTGCTGGGCTGCTTTGTGCTGGGCTTTCTCATAGGTGAGTACAGAGCTCTGGGACTCAGCCTGCAGCTCTTGTCCTCCACAGACACTTCTATGCGACCCGTGTTGTGACTAACTTCCCATCTAGGAGCTTGGGCTGCTGTCCATGGACTTCAGATAATGCTCACTTGCACCAAGAGTGTTCATCTCTCAGATTTGTGTCTTTGGGGAGGGAGAGGAATACAGCAGTCACGCTTCAGCAGAAGAGGAGCCACAGTGAGCTGACAGCTCCCTGCAACAGGCAATCCAGAGAGGAGAGGTTAACAGAAGAGTTTGAGATTTACATGACTGCAAAACCTCCAGGATTTTTCTTTCTTTAATTTTTATTTTGTGATTCCTTCTGAAGGTCTATTGAAATGCTCCTATTCTGTTAAAGGAATGCAGACAAGGAGGAGTGCTGTCTAACAGCCAGGAGCGGAGCTGCTGAATTTTCCATTGTGTCCAATGCACTGCACTACAACTTCAGATTCATTTCTGTAGTCACATGCAACATTTGATTTTATGTCTAAAATTGCATGTCTGCATCTGTCCTTTCTAACCTTGTGTTGCAACCGAAGCAAAGGGCTAAAGCATGAAGGAAGGCTATGAAATATAAAAGTTGTTGCTTTCATTTAGGAGATCCCTAAACAGCAAATTTCTGGTGGTTTTGCTACAGGGGCTTTTGAGTCCTAGGCTTTTGCTTTGAACATGCTCATACACAGGTTTTTAAATACCTGTAAAATTAAGGAAACTTCACACATAATTCAGAATCTATACCATAGTTAAAAACTAACAAGAGATGAATCTGCCTTAAAAATCAACAATATTTACCAGAGGTTTAGCTTATGTTCTTTTAATGATGTCACTTATTTTGCAATTCAGCCAGTAAAATTTTTTTTGCTTCTCTGTTTCACTCCTCTGTTTGAGTCAGCAGGCACTGACAGAGAACACTTTAAGCCCCAATCATCCTCTTGACTTTAATGTGACGCTCTGTACTTGAAGTTCCACGTGGGCCCATATATGTGAGAGCTGGGGCTCTTGCTAAATAGGATCTTTTCAATAATGACTTTTTCATAAATAACTTTTCAAAATGTCTTTCAGGATGGTTTACAAAGCCAACCGAAAAAAACCCCAACTCTTCAGATGTCTTTCAGAATGTGAGACAGAAACTTGTGGATGAAATGAAAGCCGAAAGCATCAAGCGATTCCTTCGGTAAGCCCTGCTCATCTTGCCTTGTGATTAATTTCATCAGCCAGGAAAGCTGGGAAGTGATAACATCAGCTCCAAGAAACAGTCCCTGAAAGCAGAACTGCTAAGATGCATTGAAAATGCCTGGTTTGTGCAGGCTGCCTGGGGAGAGGGGAAGGGAGAGACCCACAACCCTTCTGCTGCTTTCCTCCCCATTTTTGAAACTGTCTTTTCAGCACATGGGTACTTCCCTCAAGCTCTATTGCTTCCAGTGCTCATCATAAAATTTTGCTATGAAGATTTTCTATAGTCTACATCTAAAATAGTACAACTGCTTTTTTCTTCATGATTCTCTGAAGCTCTAGCATCAGAGATGTGAAGAATTTTGTTCTTTGTTCTCTGACAGAGATTATTTTACTTTATTTGGTAAAGACTGATTGCTATTAATTACATTTGATTGATAATCTCTCTAATGTGTCCTTGATTTTTCAGTATAAGCAATAATCCAGTTAATCCAGTTAGTCCAAGTAGAAAATCTATACATTCAAAAGGTTACAATGCTTGCATGCCACTGAGTTATGTGTGTAGTTACAATTTGGAACAAATGATGATGAAGAGAAGTGGTTCAGGTTTGATATTAGGAAAAATTTCACCTCAGATAGAGTGAAGTATTGGCACAGGCTGCCCAGGGAGGGTGTGCAGTCACCATCCCTGGAGGTGTTCAAGAACTGTGTAGACGTGGCACTGAGGGACATGGTTAGTGGTCATGGTGGGGTTGGACTGTTGTTTGCATTTGATGATCTTAGAGTTCTTTTCCAACCTTAATCATGATTCTGTGATTCTTTGATTCAGTGAACTGATAACTACTACTGGTGACCTTTTGTTTTATTCTAGCTCCTTTACCAAGTTGCCTCATCTTGCAGGAACTGAGCAGAATTTTCTTCTTGCCAAACAAATTCAAGGCCAGTGGAAGGAATTTGGATTGGATTCAGCAGAACTTGTTCATTATGATGTGCTGCTTTCCTACCCAAGTGAAACACAGCCAAACTACATCTCAGTAATTGATGATCAAGGGAATGAGGTGATATTTTTAACGATTAAGCTATATTTATGTAAGATCTCTTTTAAGAAATAACGTCTTCCTCTGTCTTCACACTCCCTGATCCCAGCACTGGGCTTTATATTCTGATAAAAAATCCAGTGGAAAGAGAACTCAAATGTAAAAATAGTTTTCCAGTCTGTGCAGCAAAACAGAATGGTGTGGCTTAAATCTCAGTGCCTCATACAGAAGAGAAAGGACGTGAGGATGGGCAGGGACTCAGCACATGTATGCCACAACATGTAAGAATGACCACCACTGGTTCATATTAGAGGTACATCTAGACCAAAATCCTCTTCCTGCAAACAGCTTTAAGTAGATGCCCAGGCAAATTTAAGAAAAAGAAACGTGTCAAATGTGCATAATTCTTCCAGTGTCTAGATGTTTTCAGTTCAAATATGATTGTATCACATTCAGAGGACTTGTTAGACCTCTTTTTCAAGTATTTAATTGGTTAGTACTCTTATTAGCTCTCTGTTCCAAGTGCCTATCCAGGGTCTGCTTGAATGTCTGTACAATTGTTTCCACACAGCTGAGGAATGCTGTGCAGTGCTGCTCACTGTATGGAGTACTGCCTCTTTTCAATTGCTCTGAATATGATCTTACTGCCTTCCTGGGGTGTTGGAAGTAATAACAAATGACTCGTATGTAGTCACCTTCTTCATTTTTTACACCCAGGAGAATTAATAGGTAGCAGTGAAGAGGGAAGATGGAGCTGCTAGGGAAGCATCATAGCACACTGTCAGGAATGGAGACCACTGGTAGGAACTGAGGAATATGTGCTCAGGAAGGAATGAACTTAAAGTTAAAAGAGTGGAGAAAGCCTTCCAGAAACTTACAATCACAATCTCTGGGAAACACAATCTCTGGGACTCTCACAAGGTAACAAAGAATAAAAGTAAACCTTGAGACAACATGAGTGTTACAGATAGGTAGTGGTGAAAGGCTGCATGTTTAACTGGAGTGTAAGTACTTCAGAGAGGTGAATAATGAATAATAACATAGGTGGGAGTTCTCACAAGAAATGCCTGTGAAGGCATGGATGAACTAGGTGTCTCTGTATTTCCATCACCTCTTGGCATTTTTCAGCTACTTCTTTACTTAAGTGACTGATGAACATCTTCTGACAAGTGATCTGTATTCATAGCAGCGTTGTGTTATAAAAATTCAGCCATGTATCCTCAGCTGATTTTTCTTTGAAGTTACGCATGATGCTTAGCATTCCATCTTTTTGCTGACAGTTTAAGGAAATTAGCATATCATTTGCATTAGCCAAACTTACACCTTGAGTTGCACTGCTTGACCAAAGACATGTTATTTATTGATAGATTTTCAATACTTCATCATTTGAACCACCTCCTGAGGGATATGAAAATGTTACTGATATATCGCCACCATATAATGCTTTTTCAGCGCAAGGAACACCAGAGGTGAGAAAGAAAAGTAAGAGATTTGTTGACTGAAATCATGTTTTGAGAAACACTTGGTGGAGTGGATTGCTTCAACATTTCAAAATATTCCTTGTAGAAATTTTAATTAACCACTAGTAAAAGGGAAGAAAAAGACAGCTAGGCCACATATTGTGCGAAGTTCAGAAGGCTATTTAAAAGAAGCCTTTCTGAAAGTGTTAGAAATGTGGTTGTGAAACAAGTGAAGAGCTTCTATTTCTATGGAAAACTGGATACATCTCAGATTACTCCACATTACTCAGTCACGTGGAAAGGTTTTCCATGAGTGGAAATAACTATAGAAATCATTTTGAAAGACATTTCGGATTGAGTGTGTGTCTTTAGAGGTTAAAAAAATCACTCAAACTAATAATTCTTCATGGATAGATCAGTCAGGGGCAGCACTGTTTTATATATATATATGAATAAAATTATATAATAGCAAGTGTCTATGTGTACAAGAAATAGCGTTATCTATCCATGGCCACAGAACTTTGTTACGTTAGCAGACTGTGTTGCTTTCATTTGCAGCCTTGCTTTGTACGGCTGCTGGGCAGCATTTAAGTGCAGGGTAATACAGGAAGGTCAGCTGCCTAAGACAAGATTTCCTGTAGATATGATGGAAATATTTTGCCATTACTTTTATCGGGGCTGGAACTCATGTATGGAAATGCAAAGTATATCACACATGAAGAAAACTGAAGAGGTATTTTGTTTGTTTGATGACCAATTGCCAACAAACTGATGTTCTTTACTGTACAGGCAGATCTGGTATATGTGAATTATGGCCGCACTGAAGATTTTTTTAAGCTGGAGCGTGAAATGGGAATTAACTGTACAGGAAAGATTGTCATAGCCAGATATGGGAAGATCTTCAGAGGAAACAAAGTGAGTACTGTGTTTAATTTTTTTTTTTTTTTTTTTTTTTAATTTTATTTTATTTTTTTTGTAGGTAGCTTTGTCTAATACTGCTCATAGTAAAGCCTAATACTGCTCATAGTAAAGCCTGCAGGAGTTAACGACAAATGTAAGTTGCAATATATGAGCAGAATCATAGAATCATAAAATAGCTTGGTTGGAAGGGACCTCAAGATTCATGAAGCTCCAACCTCTCTGACACAGGCAGGATTGCCAACTGCTAACCTGGCCTTAAACACCTCCAGGAACCACAGCCTCTCTGGACAGCCTGTTCCAGCACCTCACTCCCATCTCAGTGAAAAACTTCCTCCTGACATCGAATCTAAATCTCCCCTCCTTTGATTTAAAACCATTTCCTCTTGTGTAAGCACTATCTACCCATGTAAAATGTTTATTTTCCTTCTGTTTATAATCTCCCTTTAAATATTGAAAGGCCTTAATGAAGTCACCCCACAGCCTTCTCTTCTTCAGTTGAACAAGCCGAGCTCCCTCAGCCTGTCTTTGCAGGGGAGGTGCTCCAGCACTCTTATCATCTTAATGGCCCTCCTCTGGATGCTCTCCAACAGCTCCCCATCTTTCCTGCATTGGGACCCCTAGACCTGGAAGCAGATGGGACCTCATGAGGGCAGAGTAGAGTGGGACAGTTATCTCCCTTGCACTGCTGCCAACCTCTTCTGATGCAGCCCAGGATATTGTTGGCCTTCCAGGCTGTAAGAGCGCACTGCTGGCTTGTGTTAAATTTTCCATCTACCAGAACTCTAAGTCTTCAGCAAGGCTACTCTCAAGGATTTCTTCCCCCATTCTATATATACACCTGAAGTTACCCTGACCCAAGTGCAAAATTCTGCACTTTGCTTTATTGAATCTCATTAGGTTGATATGGATCCATCTCTTGAGTTTATCAAGGTCCCTCTGGATGGCATCCCTTCCTTCTGCCCTATCAACTGCAATAGTCAGCTTGGTGACATCAGCAAACTTGCTGAGGGTGTGCTCGGTCCTATAATCTGTGTCATTGATAAAGATGTTGAAGAGTCCTGGTAATGCATTCAGCATGTCTGCCTTCTTTACTGTAACTTGTAACAGAAGGAAAATTGTTAAGCACACTAATCTTGTGAGAGTGATATGACTACAAACTCTTTAGACAATTCTTGCAAGAGATTAGTTTGGGGAATGGAGTATTATGTAGAGCCAAAATATTTACTACTTTTCATCTAAAGAACTGCAGTATTTTGGAGAAGGATTCAGCATGGATTCTGATGTACAGACATTGAGTAACTACTCCTCTGGCTTTGGACATCAACTCCAATAAAATTCAGGATAGAAGGAAAAGGATGGTAGTGGTTAGTTTTTTTTTTTTCTCTCAGTGTTATGCCGTGTGCTTTATCTCACAGCTTTGAGGTATGATTTAAAGGTGTGACACAAATAATGAACTTAATGTCTTTTGTTGTGGTTTGCTCTGATGAGTCTGTGATCATTTTCACTTTTCCACATATATATCTTCTAAAACTACGTCCCCATGGGAATAAATCACAGCACTCAAAATTGTTATTGCACTTAAGAAAATCTGTATTTCTTAATGTCAAATCATTTTACAGGTTAAAAATGCCATTCTAGCAGGAGCCATAGGGGTCATACTTTATTCAGACCCTGCTGATTACTGTGCCCCAGGAGTAGATCCTTACCCAGATGGCTGGAACCTTCCAGGCAGAGGAGTCCAGCGTGGGAATGTGCTGAACCTGAATGGAGCTGGGGATCCTCTAACACCTGGTTATCCTGCAAAAGGTAAGTGGCAGATCTGTACCTTGGACCATCAAGTACTTTCTAAAATGATACTGAAAGTTACTGTAGCTCTAGAAATTCGTCTGGTTTTGGTACAGATGCAAAGAGAAAAGCTACTTAAAATGTCTTCTAGCAGTCATTCATTTTCCCGGTGCACAGTAGATTCTGCCTGTATATCATGGGGATGGTTACGTTTTCTGGAAAATCTCTTTGCATTTTCTCAGCCTTACAACACTCAGATGAATGATTTCAGGTTCACAGACTGCAAAGTAGTTGAAAATGAGTAACAATTTACAGCTGTTTTTAAATCTCTATGTTTCGCAAGAGGACAAGTTTAAACTACATTATATTCTATGATCAAAGAGAAGTAATAGTTTTGCTTGGAGGTATGTTTTCTTTCTCATCCGAAATTCCAAGTAGAAAAACAATTTAAAATTCTCTATACAGGGTGTAAATTTCTGTAATAAAAAATAACAATAGCCTAAAGCCTTTTGAAACTTGGCACCATATGCTTGTCTTGTGTCTATAGGCATCCTGAATTAAGGTGCCTACCAGTCCTGTCTGCCAAAGGGTTGGCAACAAAACAGTGCTTCTGGCTTGTGTGATCACTACTGGAGGCATCACACAACACCATTCAGCTTTGAAGAGACACAATAATGTAGATGGACATGCTAGCATGTAGATGGAAGGCTAGCAAATCTAGCCTTCAGTCAAATGTGCATTCAGATTAGGGATTCATCCACACCAATAATCTCTTTCTACAACCAACTTTAAGGGATGCCCATGCAAGGTTAGAAACAAAGAAGTGTGTCTGATATGCATAATTCTTCCAGTGTCCAGATGTTTTCAGCTTGAATGTTCTCTGAATGTGAAGCAGTCAGTCTCTTTCAGAGTCCTCTTTAGACCTCTTGTGGGGGCTGTGCAGACTCTCTCATTACGTTTTGGTTTTCTAGAAGCAATATCTGAGAAATGATGTAAGAAATGATTTAGGAATTGATGTATGCTTGTGAGCGATATGTGGCTGCATCGATCAAAAGAAATCTCAGTCTAGTTTGGTGAAAGCTGATAAGAATGTTGTACAATGGATATTTTGTTCTGGCTTTTTAGAGTACACTTTCCGATACAAAGTGAATGAAGGTGTAGGGATTCCAAAAATCCCAGTTCATCCCATTGGATATCATGATGCAGAAGTGTTATTACAGTGAGTATACGTCAATGCTCTTCACCACAATTTAGCATTCACAAATGTACTGTGAGATTTTCTTGTTCTAAGATGGTGGAATCTGTGTAGTTACTTATATTTATTGTTATTCTGTAGTAGTGTGTGCTTCAGAAATTTCAAAGATTTGGAGCAATGTTTCTGGCATGATGTTTTTAAGAGTTTTGTAAGCCCACTTTGGTTTAGGCGCACCAGCTTTTAAAGGAATTTCTGGTTTTAGCCCACTGTTCAACTGCTTTTCTTGGTTTTCACTTAACAGTGCAATGGGAGGACCTGCAGCTCCAGACAGCACCTGGAAGGGAGCTCTGAATGTATCATACAATGTAGGGCCAGGATTTGCAAACAACTTTTCAACAAGGTCTGTTTTAATGCTCACCTGTTCATAAAAACTGCAAAAATGTCCACAAGAAAAAGTCTGTGAAACAAAACAACCAGATGTGTTCTAATAGCAACATACAATCATAGAATGGTTTTGAATGAGAGGGACCTTGAAGTCAAATCTAGTTCCAGTCACTCTGCCCTGGATAAATTAACTTCATTCTCAGTGGGGAACACTTAATGATAAATATTAGAATTTGGAGGTAAATGGTCAAAACTGCAGTGTTGCTCAGTGTTTCCCAATGTAAATGGATAGACAGATGCAAAGAGTATATATCCAGTCCATCTATCTATTACTTTTCTTTCGTGTTTCTATTGACCAAGGGGAAAATAGTTAATTTGTAAATGTCCAAAAGGGAAGCACTACTAATTAGGTAGTCCTCTTCTAGATAGCTTTCCATTGTCCACTGGAAGCCCCCCCAGTGTTTCTTTGAACATAAGAGCTGTGGAATGGTTTGTGAGTCCATCAACTGTTTCCCAAAGTTGGTAGTTCCCACGGTGGAAAGCCTGTAAAATAGTAGGATATAAGAAAATGAAGCTCAATGTCTGACTAATTTGAATAGGGAGAAATTGGACGTGGAACTATTGGATTAGCAATAGTATTTTGCTCTTTGCCTTTTTTCATCTCTGATGGAGAAATAAAACTGGTCAGGTCTCCAGCAGTTGCTGGAGCAACTTTGAGCAACTTCTTCCTGCAGAACAAGATATTATTTTGACACTATATAATTCTGCAAAGACTTCATTTATCCTTTTTCTTTCCTTGTCTGTTCTAACACTATCTGAAAATGAGCAAAGTAGGAACAAAGTAGGAAAAAAACAAGAAAGCGTAATCAAGGTGCTGTTTTAAATGTCTTCAAGAGTAATAAAACCAACAGTTAGGAAAGAACTACCATGATTCATTGTGAACACGTATGCAAAGGAAATATTTTTGAATGCACTTTTTAACATCTTCCCACTTGATAGGAGAAGTAGTTTTTGTAGAGACTAATCCTGCATATACTTTTCTATCAGAGTAATTCCATATCGAAAGGAGACTTTTGAGTCTAGGTCGACAGTCACTTGTACATGGAAATGTGTAAGTATAAGCATGTTCAAGCCACAGGTGCCAGTTTCTTTCTGGGCAGTGATCCAGTAGCTGTCTTGAGAAGTGGGTCTCGATTTTGACAGCCATGCAGATCCACTGCCGAAAAGATGAGAAACTCTTGGAGTTTTGCCAGACCCCAAATCAGTGCTGTTTCATTCTTTGTGTCTTCTATAGGTTAAAAGGGGCTGAATAGTACATTATTTTTAGTTCTTCTAATACCTGAATTCCCTTTCTTTTTATGAAATTTCATGAGAAGTTTTTTTTTCAATGTTGTTTTGCTTTGACAAATTTTGATCACTTTGATCTGCTGTCTTAAACAGAGATTTCAGTGTATTTGTGCATAACTGTTTATAATGACCATCTCTCCAACTTCTATCACAATTCATGTAGTTTTGCTAAAAAATCACAGTGTATTCCTTGTAAAGATATTTATATCTGCAGTTATCATTTTGATCAAAATTCAGGTTCATTTTTAGTTACTGTGTAGGCTTTTCATTTCCTGCTCTAACATACCTTTGACCAATTGTCACCCAGAAATAACAATTCAATAAATTCTGTCACCATTTGAAACTTCAGAAGCTGACCTGTATAGACCTCTTCCTGTCAACAGTTTAACTTGAAATATGAAATGGGAGGCTGATGCAGCATGATGGATTAGATAACTGCTGAACACACAAAGCAAAACAGGAACATAAACTTTCTTAGAATCTTCTCAGAGATGGTTACACCAACTGCTTTTCATTTCAGAAAAGTCAGAATGCACATTCATACAAACAATGAAATTGCTCGAATTTACAACGTCATTGGTGTCATCAGAGGAGCTGTGGAACCAGGTGAGCATAAGAATTCCTTCTTTATTGCTGTTTGGTGAAATTGTCATCGGGTTTCAAGAAAAAGTCACTTTCTAGGATAGCCAGAGAGTGTTGGAACCTGAGAAATCTTTAATAGCTTGTCCCATCCCTCCACTACACTGTTTTTAATAGGCATTCTCAAGAATATACTTGAATTATGATGCTAGAATGATAGACATAATTCTTTACATGCCTGTCCTTTTACCATGGGATTCTGCTTATATAATTAATATGCTTTGTCTGGCAAATCTTGACAGAATGCAAAGCGCAGAAAACTGGTTATGATTTAGGACCTTAACATCCTATTGTTGGGACTGAGTAACAAGACGTGCATAAAAGAATGTTAATTCAAAAAGTGTGTAGAATAGATTTGCTTGCATTGGAAGGGGCAGTAAAACCCACCCTGTTCCAACCCCTGTCATGGGCTGGTTGCCCCCCACCAGCTCAGGCTGCCCAGGGCCCATCCAACCTGGCCCTGAGCACCTCCAGGGCTGGGGCACCCACAGCTCTTTGGTCAGCAGTGCCAGGGCCTCATAAAAAAGGCCCTGCCAAAACTGCCAAATAAAAATTTTCTTCCCTATATCTAATCCAACTCTCTTTTAGTTTAAAAGCTTAACTTGTTGTCCTATCTGCATGCTTTTGTAAAAAGTCTTTCTTCATCTTTCATATAAACCCCCTTTAGGCACTGAAGGGCTGTAGTAAGTTCTCCCCAGAGCCTTCAGTTCTCCAGGCTGAACAACCCCAGCTGCCTTAGCCTTTCTTCGTAAGAGATGTGTTACAGCCCTCTGACCATCTTCATGGTACTCTGGACCCACCCAAAGAAATCCTTGTGTTTCTTTTATTGGGGATCCCAGACACAGATGCAGTGCTCCAGGACAGTACCCTCCCTCACCCTGCTGCCTCCCTGCTTTTGATGCAGCACAGGAGACTGTTCTCCATCTGGGCTGTAAGAGCACACTTGGCTCATGTCAAGCTTCTCCATCCTGAACACTGGCTTCTCAGGGCTGTTCCTCAATCTACTCATCTCTCAGCCTATATCTGTGTTTGAAATTGCCCTGAGCCAGATGTAGGACCTTGCACTTGGCCTTGTTGAACTTAATGAGGTTTGCTGGGTCCATCTCTCCAGCCTGTCCTGATCCCTCTGGATGGTATCCCTCTCCTCCAGTATTTCAACCACACCGTGCAGCTCGGTGTCACTGACAAAGCTGGTGAGGGTGCACTATCAAAGAATTACCAAATCACAGAATGGCCAGGGTTGCAAAGGACCTCAAGGATCATGAATCTCCAACCCCCTGCCACATGCAGGGCCACCGACCTCCCCATTTAATACTAGACCAGGCTGCCCAGGGCCCCATCCAACCTGGCCCTGAACACCTCCAGGGTCGGGGCATCCACAGACTCTCTGGGCAGCTGTTCCAGCACCTCACCACTCTCTCTGTGAAGAACTTCCCCCTGACATCCAACCTGAATCTTCCCTCTCTCAAAACCATTTCCCCTTGTCCTGCTGCTATCTACCCTTTCAAAGAGTTGATTCCCCTCCAGTTTGTAGGCTCCCTTTAGGTACTGAAAGGCTGCAATGAGGTCACCCTGCAGCCTTCTTTTCTCTGGGCTGAACAAGCCCAGCTCCCTCAGCCTGTCCTCATAGGAGAGGTGCTCCAGTCCCCCCGCTAAATCCCACTGTCCATGTTACTGACTAATATGTTGAATAATAATGGTGGAATCAATAGAAATGCAAATAACCTAAATGCATTTTTAAGTCAGGATTGATATTGTGTGCTTGTTTGCAGATAGATACATTATTTTAGGAGGTCATAGAGACTCCTGGGTATTTGGTGGTATTGATCCAAGTACGGGTGCAGCTGTTCTTCAAGAGGTTGTTCGAAGTTTTGGTAAAATGAAGATGGAAGGTAACTTAATTATTATGGACTTAAAGTGATGGATGTGGAAAAGAACAGCTTTGAGAGACTGTGATGAATATTCCCAGTAGCAGCTGCTTTGATTTAAGCTTCACCTTTACAGAAAGTTGGTTGTATATTTCATTATGAAATATACACATTCGTTGAAGAGATGCAAATGCAGCATTGCATCTTAGTTGGCTGAATTTATTCCCTCATCTTTCTTGTCAGTGTAATATTACTGCTTTAGTTGTACGGAATGAAAATGTTACATTAAGAAGAAATGTCTTTGCAGTAATATGTTTCTCTAAAGAACCTAGAATTGTTGTTTCTTTTTTTTTTTTTTTCCTGCTATTTCAATTAAGTCTATTTTTTTTAAGAGATTCAATTAACTGTGGTGAAATTAAACTTGAAAATTAATTTGGTGACTGCAGGCTGGAGACCTAAGCGAACTATCATTTTTGCTAGCTGGGATGCAGAGGAATTTGGATTGCTGGGTTCCACAGAATGGGCTGAGGTAAATAACATGGTTTATTAGCACTGGAACATTTAACAGATTATTTGCTGTTAAAATTTCATTTATTATACATATTCTGTACTTATAGAACTTGGATTTTGCTTTCACAATACGTAAAAGAAAATACTTAAATGTTTTTATTGAGTTTGTTTATCAGTAGAACACAAAATTGCAGAACAAAAACCAGAAACATGAAACAGCATCATTCATCTGTTAACAAAGCTGAGATTTCTCTTTCCTTGGACTTGCACTAACCTTTTCTCCCATGAAATTATGTTTTGCTTCCAGCTGCAATAGACACTCTGCCCCTTAATGTTGTTTTATGGGATATTAGACAAAGGAAACATAACATAAATTACTTTTAAAATTATTTATTGACTAGAGGGAGTTGGTTCTAAAACTTCATCTCTCCTGAATTCCAGTGGTAACAGAAGTGTACTGTATATTAATCTTTTATTTATGGTTTCTTTCTTTATGTATCTGGGCACGTTTAGATGCGATCAAAAGAAAAAAGAACAATTTTAAGTATGAGGTGTATGGAAGCATGATATTTAAAAGATCATTTCTCTTGAGCAAGTAATGAATAGATTAGTTCTCTATATGCTTGTTCTCATATTACTACTGCTGCTCTGTGTTTTTTGTTAAATAATTTAACAGCCAGTAATCTATCATCTGCTATTTCACTCCATGACAGCTGTAGTAGATTAGAAGCCTCTAAGCACCTCTCCTATCTGAACCTCAATGTTTTTCTATTATTGTTTTCCTGCTTTGTCTCAGTGGTGTGCATTCCTCCTCTTTGACACCAAAATTAGATTTTAGTTTCTCTGGAGACATTCCTCACAGCTTACATTCGTTTTCCTGCAGCTGCCAGATCTGCCATCTACTAAATCTTGGGAAAAATTAATCCATTATATTTACTGTCTTCTCTGTAACAAAGACTCTGCAAGTGTGGCAGTGTCCTTTTGTCACATAAACACATCATGAAGGAATTTATGCTGCAAATATGCTTTTCCACATATGCGTGGCCCTGTGTATGCACACACAAGATTGCTTTCTTCCTTCATATTCTCCTGCAGAATCTTTCCAGTGTTTGTTTTGAAGATAGTGAGTGCATTGTTGAGTTATCAATTATCAAGCTAATTTGTAGTTTGCGTGATTTAAAAATAATTAGTTGGTTATAAATTGAATCAAGTATCAATTACTAACCTAATTAGAATATCTATTACAAGGCTGAGGTTTAGTAACATATCCCTTCCTGATTAGAATATCAATTCCAAAAATAATTACCGGTTTGCAAAAAAAATTCAGCATATGTGTAAATATTTATCATGAAAGCAATGCATAGTTGACTCAAAACTGCTTTGATTCATTGTTTTTAGGAATGAGTGAGTATAGATATGACAACAATACCCGCTTCATCATTGTTAAAATTCAGTTAAATACTGGAACGTGATACCAGTAGCAAAACTGGTGAGGCTACATTTAGAATACTGTGTCCAGTTCTGGGCTCCCTGGCTCAAAAAGGATAGAGATCTCCTAGAGAAAGTCCAGTGGAGGGCCACAAAGTTGATACAGAGCCTGAAGCATCTCCTGTACAAGGAAAGGCTGAGTAACCTGGGTCTGTTCAGCCTGAGGAGAAGAAAATTGAGGGGGGGTCAGATTAATGTTTGTAAATACTAAAAAGAGGTGGGAGGCAAACAAATGAGGCCAGGCTCTACTCGGTGTCTTGTGACAGGACAAGGAGCAGTGGTCTAAAATTTGAACATAAAAAAGTTCCATACAAACATGTGGGAGAGCTTCTTTATGGTAAGGGTTACGGAGCTTAGGAAAGAGGTTGCTCAGATAATTTGTTTAGTCTCCTTCTATGGAAATATTCAAGACCCATCTGGACTCTCTCCAGTATGAGAGGTTGGTTGCTTTCCAGACAAAAATGAGTCCCAGAAGCAAGAGTGAATGTTGTATGCTCAGATCATTGACCCATCCTCAAACACCACAGTGATTGGTGAAGAACATTGTGCTACTTATCCTGACTTGTTTTCTAAAGGTAATGTGGTTAAAACAAACGAACAATAAAAAGCCCACCTAGTATACTTAATATGCTCTTCAGTAAATGTCACTACCTGAAGGTAATAATCACACTTTTACAACCCCAGGAAAATGCCAGAGTCCTCCAGGAACGGGCAGTGGCGTACATCAACGCAGATTCTTCTATAGAAGGTGTGTCTTACTTTTAAACTCACTTTACTTTATGAATGTCAGTTTTAGTAGTTACTGTGTATTATTGTCGCATCCAGAGCTAGCAAACATCAATTATGTAATATTCAGTAATTGTAGCAAATACAGAATGAAGTGGAGGGAGAGGACAATCCAAATCCTCATGTTGCTTGCCTGTTGCAGGTAGTGCCATCCATGAGCTGCAATCCACATATCTGGAAGCCAGAAGGCCTCCTCTGTATTCAGTGTTCTGTGCAAATGAGCTGAGCAGTCTGAATTTTTAAATCTCTCTTAACTGCTTTAGCAATTATTATACAATTATTGTTATGATGTATGGCTGACTTATACCTGCAGCTCCAGCTCCATTTACTGTGGAAGTGCAGTATCTTGGGACACTATAATTATTTACAGTCACGGGACAATTAGTGTCAAAACCTTGGGGTTATGTTTTGTAGGTGTGGGAAATCGTTTTGTTGCTTTGGGATGGGGTGCACCCCTTTGTGCAGTGCTGTGAAGAGGGAGGCTGTGCAGAGTTCCTTGCAGAATATGCCTGAGCTGACATAGAAAAATAGGCTCTCAGGAGTGATTCACAAAAAAAGTGACCCACCATTATTTAATTTACTGTGTCTTTCAGATTCTCAAAAGAATCTGGCATACAGGAATGCTGCTTATAAGCTAGACTTGGGAAGTTAGAGCAAGCACAATGACCTAAATCAGAATAGCAAGGATAATGTCATTAAATTATTTTGAGCTTTGTTACAGAAGATCTTCATTTGCTGTTTTCTGTGCTGAAATCATCATAGAATCATAGAACTGTTTGAGTTGGAAGAGAAAGAACTCTTAGAGGCCATCCAGTCCAACTCCCTTGCGTTGAACAGGGACATGTACAGCTCCATCAGGTGCTTGGAGCCTGTCCAGCCTCACCTTGAGTGTCTCCAGGGATGGGGCATCCACTACCTTTCTGGGTAACCTGTGCCAGTGTCTCACCACTGTCATTGTGAAAAACTTCCTAATATCCAGTTTAAGTCACCCCTTGTTTTGTTGGAAACCATTTCCCTTGTCCTGTCACCACAGACCCTGCTAAAGAGTCTGTCCCCTTCTTTCTCACAGCCCCCTTCAGATACTGAAAGGCTGCTCTCATGTCTCCCCGGAGCCTTCTCCTCTTCAGGCTGAACAGCCCCAGCTCTCTCAGGCTGTCCTTGTAGGGGAGGAGTTCCATCAGTAGAGCCCCATGAATCTGTTCAGCACAGTTCTTTCTGGCATTGCTTTTTCCATGTTAAACCCAACCGTTTTGTGCTTACTCTGTGTGAATAAAATGGATATCAGTAGGCACATTTAAAAGCTCTTCTTACTCCTGTCAGCAGAAAATTCTGTCTGTCACAAAAGGATTGGAAGGAAAGAAAAGACAAACCCAGATTCTAAATGCTGTGTTGGAGGTTGGCTGTAAGGACAGTAGAGCTGTTCCTTCAATTATACAGCGTACATGCTGTGGAAAAAGTGGAGCAGAAGTTCACACTTAGATGAAATAATAGCTTTACAACTGCTTCATATTCTCAGCATGGATTGTAACACGTTCATATTTTTCAGCTGATCTGCAGCCAACATGCTGCTGCATTAACTATTTTCTTCCAAATCCTCGTTACTCAAACACGTCTCTTGCTTTGTGCATTAAAAAAAGTGTGAAAGTAAAACCAGTGGGAAAGATATGTAGCAAGGCAAAAAAGCACCATCACCAGAGGACTGTTTTAAGTATTTGGGCGTCTTTCACTTTCTTCTGAGCATCCGCTGTAGAGCCAAAACATCCATATAGTCTGGGAATTAATTTTTTTATCATCATGCTTTTTCTACAGCGCTTCTTGTGCCATGTTTTGAACGCAAATTCTTTCTATTCATTGGCCTTGAGATGTGAAAATCCATAAAAGGAATAGCAAGTCATTCTTTTGAGTATTTTTGTGTCTCTAGTTTCCAGTTCTCAAATAGAGACTCTTGTTGGAAACATTATTAATGTTATCAAGTGATTTTAACATTATCTAGAATTTTTCACAGTGTTGTTGGGTTTTCTGTAATTGTTAGTCCAACGCTCGCTCTTGTGAGCATGCAGTGGATGACCCCAGGTCTAAAGCAGTAACAAGACCTAATAACAGTGTTTTCTGATGTTTCATTATGTCAAAACCTTCTCACCCTTCTTGTTGTCCACATCTGAGGGGAGAGATGTTTGCCCAGCTGCTGTTGGGTGGCTACAGAAAAGACTGAGTTGCAGACCTGCCTCCCTCAGCAGTGGCAGTAGTTTCTTTGCAGTGGGGCTCTTGCTGCTATGACTGACAGCTTCCCTATGAGATACTTACCCACTTACCACTCCATTCTGTTAAATGCAGGCTTTTGGGATCATGTGAGAGACAAGGGTCAATGAGTGACAAGTAGCTGATGAAGGATAGTTGCACATATTCCAGAACTACGTGGAAACTTCATTACATTACTTTGCATGTTCAATAACCAGTGCATAATTGTGTAGAAACAGGAGCTTACAAAGAGTGACCAAATAAACAGTCTGTTTCTGTGTATATTCTGAGGAAAGATCTAAATTCTTTGCCTTGGAGTCAAGGAGTTTGTCTAAGAAAGGACTGCAGGGCTTAATCCATTAGGAAGATAATGCCAATTGTATGTGGAGGGATTTCCATGTCTGTGCTTCATTTTCAGGCAACTACACATTAAGAGTTGACTGCACCCCTCTTCTCTACAAACTGATATATAATCTAACGAAAGAGGTACTGAATCAGAGTGTTTATTGTTCTTGATTTCCTGAGAATGCACAAATTTATTGGATAAAATGGGACTATTGAGTAATATTGCTTTTGTCTTACAGCAATGCTGAAAGAATCTTGATCCTACTCAAATCAGTAGCAAAACATTCTCTCAGTGGTACACAATCCTGGCTTACAGTTCCCTGGTACGCTGAGCAAGGCTGAAATGTATTGCTGACATAGCTGGAATATTATTTACAATGTATAGTGAAACAATTGTATGTAGAGATAACTATACATATGTATGTATAAAACTTGGAATATAGATAATTGGATAAATAAATAAGTTTGAGATAAGAAAACACTTAAGCGAGATCAATTCTTGTAAGCATGCAAGGAAATAAACTGCATTGGACATTCAAGTGCGATCTATTACAATCTAAAATCTATTTCTTTTCACACTGGCTAGATACCAGTTGTTCTCAGATCCCCTTGAATTACCTCCAGATCTCACTGATCTTCTGAAACACTGTAATAAATATCAGGGGACTGAATGGGCTTTGTAGTGGGCCAGATGTATGGATTTGCTTTACTACAAGTGGTCAGATCATGTCTCCTTTGCTTTTTTAACTCTCAGCACAAATTATCATGAGGCTGAAAGACTTATTTTCTCTCTCTGAAGAATCTCATCTACATCTCATCTACAATGCATTTTCTCTACATACTCTTTTTTTTTTTTTTTTTTTTTTTTTTTCAGTTTTGTGCCACAGTTTTCTAGAGCATAATTTCTGGCTATCTTTTCTTACTTCTTGACTGGTGACTGCCTGCCATGGAAAATAAAATCATGGCTCAATTTTTACAGTGCTTCAATTTTGTAGTTTTCAATTCCAAACCACCTCAAATTTACCAATGTTGATGTGTCCCAAGTGGCCGCCTGTGACCACATATCTCTCATTCTGAAACCTTTCCTTCCTACTCCTTTGACCTTCCCTGTAAGATCATTAGAAGTTTTTGGGATTTCCCCAAGGAAAATGATGTTTTTTGATGGACTAAAGAAGAGAAATCAGAGATACTAAGGGCAATGTGTTGAAAAATTGCTTCTACTTAGGCCACCATTTCTGGTAGCATAGAAACACATGTACAGGTGACTGATTAACATTGTAGAGCTGTGATATATCTTTTCCTTGCCTCACTGATTCTAGCATCACAGAATAAAATTTATGTAAGGATTTGAACATCTTTTTTCTCCTGGGATCTGATTCCAGACTTAAATCTAAGTTAGAATGGACAGTTCATTTTACAAGGTTCTTAGCATTATATGAAAATGCTGGTCAATGGTTTTGATATGAGCAGAGCTGTTAGAATAACGTCTCTGACAGAGCATGAAGCACTTTCACTTGCCTGTGTCAAGAGTTCAGCTTGCTCCTTTTATGCCATTTCCAATTTAGCCTTAAAACTTTACTGAAATGCCCTGAAAATGACAGCAGTCAAATGACTGCTTCACAAAGTTGTTATTTTTTCTGCTAACTGTTGCCATAAATTTAGAGGTCAGAGCTCCTAGGATTTTCAAGGATTTTTGGAGTCTGTATGTTTTTCAGTGCTGTATTAAGACTCAACAATATTCCGCATCTACCCATGCACATTTATGCTTTGCATTAAAAAAAAAATAGAGAAAGAAAAAGAGAGAGAAGAATCCCAATCTTGTGCAGATCATGGCCAATTTTACACTTGAAGGACAATGGTAGCTTTAGCCATAGCTGTCACAGACAGGTAAGCATAGCTGGAGACCTGGACCAGGGTTTTGATTTATGTGAAACTGCCATAGTTCCTCTAGCAGCTTTGGACAACCAATTTCCTAGCTTCCTAATTTTCCATCATGGATACATAACTACCCATTTCTATTTTTTTTTAAAAGGAAAGTGTGTCTCGCACAACAGGGCTCCAATCTTGGCTGTGTTCCGCTGACACTGCTTCAGACCACAATTCCTTTATAAGCTTCCTGTAAGAAATGCCCATTTCAGGCTCAGCCTCCTGAGGGAACGCCATTGTTTTGTGGTGCAAAGTTGTGGTGGCTTAGGGCTGTCTGTTCTTCTTGCCAGCTGAGAGGTGAACAGCTGGAGCAGCTCCTCAGTACTGTCCTGTGCACTTGTACGTGTGCATACACAGAGCTATAATAAGTTGGTAAAAAGTCCTGGAAACCCCAAGTACGCTTCTGCTTTCTTCCAAAACCAGATGGGTTTAATTTTGTGTCTTACAGCTTTTGTCTTGCTCTGCCCTCTGCCTCTGGTTGGTTCCAGGTGCCTGTGTGATGCTGTTTAGTTGCATATAGCAGTAAGCAGGGTATATGTGCCTCCTTGCATACAGCAGTGCTGTTGGTTAAGGTCTCTTTTGATACCAGTTTGACTTTGAGGTACTTCCAATGAGATTATAATGTATTCCTCTCCAGATTTCAAGCCCTGATGAAGGCTATGAAAATAAATCTCTTTATGAGAGTTGGCTTGAGAAAGACCCTGCGCCTGAAAATAACAGTCATCCTAGGTAAGTAATTTGTCTGTTTTCACTTTCCCAATGTTTTCATTTTATCACAGCATGGCTCTTTGGAATTCTTCAGGATGTGCTGTTATTGACAGTGCTGCAAAAATCTTTTAGTACTTGAAGTCTCTAACAATATCTAAAACAAAATAAAATGTCATGACCTTTTTTTGAATGATTGTGACATCTATGTCCACTACAAGAACAAAATCTCACGCTCTTTGAAAGTCTGTTTTGAACAGAAAAACATTTTGGAAAACAAACACAGAAGTGCAGGGTGGGGAAAAAATCAAAGTATAGTTCAGTTACTCTTCTAAATAATATCAAGACTGTTATGCTAAGCAAGTACTTTGTTGAAAGAAACTGCCTCAGGCAGTAGTTAAAAGCTCTCATGATATTTATTCTTTGTTTCTACAATGGATGTAGACGTTATATGTTAAAAATCTATATCTGAAGATATTAAAATCTCAGCATGTTGTTTAAGCCCATGACTGGTAAGGCTAAATCTTACATTCTCATAAGGCAAATAGAACTGCTCCCTGTATCATTTGACCCAAATATTCTGCATGGATGACCCTATCAACTTTTAAGCCTTGGTAACAGCCTTGGTAAAGTCTTCTAGACACATCAAACTCAATTAAGATTTCTTCCTTTTGAAAAACCTACTAGATCTAATCCGTCTTAACTGATATTTTGCTTTTCCTTTGTCTTGCAACACCTATCCAGCAGATGGCAATATTTACTTGTAAGAGACAAATGTTAATGTCTTCTGCTGTGGAAATTGCTTGCCAGGCTTTGTGCTGTGGAGTACTCTAAGTATGTAAGCACATCTGTTTTTACATATATTGCCTCCCAATTCCTTTTAATTTGGGAATAAGTATTTAATATTTTAAGACTGCAGAGGCTTATCTGATGCAAATCTACACTTCTCGTGCACGCCACGTTCATTTTTTTTCCTAATGTGGTCAAATCAGGGATGCTACCATTACGAGATCCTTGTAGTAATACTGGATATTGGATGGAATAAAATCAGTTAGGGTAATTAAGCTTGCTGCTCATCTACTCTCTAATCTGACTGGCGTCCCTGGTGTGCCCTTCAGAAGCCTTGACCTCCATTTCTATGAAAATCTGCATTTTGCATACATTACCACCATTTTATAAAATAAGTACTGCCTCTCTGATGTGTTCTGTTTCCTACATGCAGAATAAACAAACTGGGATCAGGCAGTGATTTTGAAGCTTACTTCCAGCGACTGGGAATTGCATCTGGCAGAGTGCGCTACACCAAGAACAGGGTGAGCCAACAGATTGCTCTGAGGGGTTAAGTGGTGCTGAACAGTCATCTTTTAAAAGCATTTATTCATAGTTGATAAAAAAAAGCTTCAGTGAATTTTTGGCTCGTTTTTGACTCATCAGTACCATTTTAGAATTTAACAAGAAACCTAATGGCGTGGAGAATAAAAACGTTACTGTAATGTGTACATTTTATGGGCTATCAAGTTCTCAGGAGTATATTTATAGTATCTGATTGGGAGGGTGGATTTCATTCCACTGTGCTATTAGCAGTCCCCTTAATATATATATACATCCCCCTGGAGTTTGTTCAGGAAACTGTGCATTATTCAGAGGGGCCACGGCTGAGGATTTCTGTGATCCCAAACTTCAGACTGATTTCCACATCAGTGAAGGCCATGTCTGTACAAGGGAACTGAAGTCAGGTCTGCGTAGGTGGGAAGAAGGAAACCTGCTCCCTTATTCTTGTGTGACAGTCTGTGGATTTGGGTTGCTTTCTTTCCTGAGGATGAGCACACAAAAAGAAGGGAAGGAGAGCAAATTGTGTTTTCTAAGAAGTAGCTTTTTTCATTTGGAAGCTGTGCAGAACACCATGGCAGCATTACAACCTTCACTGTAGTCACTGACAAATTTACCTGCTCTTTTTTTTCAGAAAATGGACAAATTCAGCAATTACCCTGTTTATCACACTGCGTACGAGACCTTTGAGTTAGTGGAAAAATTTTATGACCCCACCTTCACGAAACAGCTAGCAGTTGCCAAGCTGCGAGGCAAACTGGTTTATGAACTTGCAGATTCCCAGGTCATTCCATTCGACTGTAGAGACTATGGAGAGGCCTTAAAAGGGTACAGCGACAGAATTTATGAATTGGCTAAGAAACATGAAAAACAGTTGGAAACATACGGAGTATCATTTGGTGAGTAATAGCCAAAGCAGAATTTGTTGAGTGGGTCAGTTGGATTTATGCAGTGACATGATGTATCTGTTCTCTCTCTGAAACTGAATTCCTTTTCTGTTTCCAACCTGCTATCATATTAAGATCCACTAAAAAAAAGATCTTTCTGAACCTAACTGGAATGAATACGTTATTGTTTAGAGATGACTGAGTTTCAATAATGTTCATTCATATCATTAGGTGTGTTATCACAGTACTGGTGAGCAGCCACGAACCAGAATCAAAAGCAGAACAAAGAGATAGTATCAATCTGGTTCTCACCCGTGACCAGATTATTTTCTCTTCCTTAAAAAAGAAGACAAATCGCCCCCCACTGTAAGGGCAGAGCCAGTCTGAGACTGCCTCATGAGAGTGAATGTGTACAAGTCTATGGGGCCGGTTTCTTGTAGCTGTATTAGCAACTTCATTTCCAATTCAGAGCTTATTGTAGAAAAAGTGGACCACTGAATGGATAAGAAACTGGTTGAAAGGCCGCAGACAGAGGGTGGTCATCAATGGCTCTGTGTCCAGGTGGAGGCCGGTAATGAGCAGCATCCCCCAGGGCTCTGTCTTGGGACCGGTGCTCTTTAACATCGTTATCAGTGACATCGATGACAGAGTGCACTCTCAGCAAGTTTGCTGACGACACCAAGCTGAGTGGTGTAGTTTACACGGTGGAAGGAAGGGATGCCATGCAGAGGGACCTCAACAGGCTTGAAAGGTGGGCCCAGGTGAACCTGATGAGGTTCAACACAGCAAAGTGCAGAGTTTTGCACTTGGGCCAGAGGAATCCCAGGCATCCATACAGACCGGGAGGAGCGGTCCTTGAGAGCAGCCCTGTGGAGAAGGACCTGGGGGTTCTGATAGATGAAAAACTTAACATGAGCCAGCAGTGTGCCCTTGCAGCTCAGAAAGCAAATGGTATCCTGGGCTCCATCAGAAGAGGGGTGCCAGCAGGACAGGAAGGTGAATGTCCCCCTCTACTCCTTGAGGTCCCTTCCAACCCTGGCCATTCTGTGATTCTGTGAAGACAGATTAAATATTGGTGGCAGCTGCCTAAATGTTGAGAGACATGGGTCAAAGGCTTAATGTGACCTTTGGAAACCTGCTTCATTCCACTATCTATATCAATGCCTGGGTGCCACTTTTAGGCAACAGAACCCTTTAATTTCTGCATAAATGCATTTACTGAGCACGTGAGCACATTGTAATGAGGCACATAGCATGGGAGAGGCAGAATGCTGTGGATCACAAGCTCGGAAAGAATCATGGAGTGGCCAGGGTACAAAAGGATCACAAAGATCATCTAGTTTCAACCCCCCTGCTATGTGAAGGGTTGCCAACCACTAGATCAGGATGCCCAAAGCCACATCCAGTCTGGCCTTGAATGCCTCTGGAGATGGGGCATCCACAGCCTCTCTAGGCAAACCTCTCCAAATAGTTTTCACAGGCATTCTCTTTTTTCTCCCTCTCTTTTTTCTTTCTCCTTGTCTTGTTCACCCCTTGTGTTTCTGTATCAAAGAGGATTTTTGGTCACTCCTAACCCATTTGGTATCTGATGGATCATAGGTTAGAAGACGTTAGCTTTAATATAGTCCTCTTTTGAGTTGTCTGAAATGTGAAGAAATTCAAATCAAATCCCCACTCGGGGGAAACCTAAAAAAGACATTTAAAACTTCCTATAATGGCGCAGGTAGAAAACTCTTGACCATTTTGTAGTGATGTTGTTTTTTGCCATCAGACCACAAAGGAAGCCCTTTGTGATGTTGATGAGTTGCCCGGACTGAGAGTTTACCTAACAGAAAGACTTAATTCATTGAGAATTGCAGTATATTGTATGAGGAAACATCAAGACTGGACTTTCTTTTTCCACTATTGGAATATCTCCCAAAATTTCTATTCAATCTTTTATTTCCATTGTTTGTATTTCTTTCCCATTTCACATTAGAACTTGACCAAATTAATTTCTAAATGATGCATACATATACTATACTGACATATACTATGTCAGGTAGGCTCTACAAGCAATTTTTGAGGCTTTTTTTTCCCTATCACTGAAGTCCTTAAGAACTTCACAAATGGGGCACTTTGACAAGGCACATTTTTTTAACCTTTTCATTATTTTTCATTATTTTCATGTCTCTCCTCTGATGCCTGATCCGTTTTAAAATATTTCTCAGATAAAACTATGATTCTCATTCTGTGTTTATTCAGTGGCACCAGAGTGCATTGCAATAAAGATGTAGTTTTTTACATTACTGTGAAAATCGAAATTCATTTCACCCAACATTTCTATGGAGCTGCTTATTGACATCCCCGAATGTCAGAAAGCTGTTAATTAAAGCTGAATAAATCACATAATTGTCCTTCAAAACAGTTGATGAAGTTTTTAATTTGCCTTTGTGCTACCATTTCAGCTGTTCCTCTGATACAATGAATGCTGGAAGCCTTTTCTTCATTAAATATTTACTTATAATAATGAGCTATTTGGAAATAAGGCCTGTGGGGGGAAAAAAAAAAAAAAAAAAAAAAAAAAAGTGATAATATTTCTCAAACAAAATTGGCAGCATGGAGTAGCTCATGAACATGAGCACAAATTCTCTTATATATTTTCAGATGACCTTTCCTTTTTCTCTTAAATCCCCTCCTACTGCTTCTGAAATACAATCTGCTGCCTCAATGCAGCCATGATGTCAGCGGGACATCTGTCCTCTGGCAAGGTGATAACTACTGCCCCAGGGAAGTGCAGTCGTGGACGAGTGCAAATCCTCCCCAGCAAGGTGACTCCACACCACAGTCCATAAACAGGTTGCAAGGGCAAAATCTGTGCTTCTACTTACGTAGATTCTATGATATTCTGGATTATCTAAAGATTTCTGAAACTTGTAGGCAAAATATGCAGGTTGTGAAACTTCCTTCTGCGCAGTGAGTTTTGGTGAGGCCATTTCTGCTCACAGCACTCGCCTTGTTCTACAGAAATCAGCTGCAGAAATGGCTTCTTTTCCCCAGGTCTGTATCAAACAGCCCCTTCCACAGGGAAACCATTGCTGCTGATATTGTCATTAGCAGGAGGTCTGCTGCTTCTGTGGCTCAGCTGTGGCACAGGGTTGGATGGGCTGCCAGGGGCAGAGCTGGAGAAAGCAACCAAATGTGTGGTCAGGTGTAGCAGGCAGAGTCTGGGGTAGCAATGATGTGGATGGCACACGGGGCCGTGGCTGAGGTCTTTCTTCCTGCTGGTAGTGCAGCTCTTCCAAGCCTGCGCTGGGGAAAGTAATACATTCTGTGACAGATGGGAAAACTATGCAAGCAGCGCAGCCAAACACATGTAGTTGTGCTCCCCCTGGTTAAATGGAAGGTGTATTGGGCTCTGCAGATCATCTGAAGTTGTTTAAATCCTTCCCATTCCAGATCCTCTTTTTTCTGCCGTGGGGAACTTCTCAGAGGCTGCTGCTGAATTTCACAGGAGGCTCGAGCAAGTGGACAGGAAGGAGTAAGTCTGAAAACATAAGGACGTGTGTATCTCATTTTGGTAAAAGCTCATCTCTTGGTATTTCCCTTCTTTGTCCCAGGGTACTCCTGAAACCCTCCATCAGACTTTGGTTGGTTGGAATAAGTTACAAATGCAGACCAGCTGAACTTTCAGTCAGTTTTGGATTTGCTCCTAGTGCAGCCTGCATTTCTGTCTCTCCTTGGGGTGATATTTATCTTGCTTAGTTTTCAGCCACCTTAAAGATATAATTACTTGTCTTGAGTCCCTTTATATTTAATGGAGCAAAATTAGTATTTTGAAGGGGCAGTTAATCACATCTTCTTTGGGTAGCGAGGGCACTGACTGCACAGGGAGTCTGTCTGATTAGTACAGAGCAGAGCCCTTGAACTCTGAGACAGGCAATATCTGCCAGGATTAATTCTGCTTTCAGTGATGAATAGTATCAGCTGTAGAGCTTATAAATATCAGTTTGTCATTACAATTATTGTAATAAATGGAAAAGCAGATAGCAGTGGAAGTTAAAGTTGGACTGAGCTCTGTATTTAGACACCTATGCTTGAATGTTGTATGTGTCACAAATATTTATACTTTTAGCACACCTGAAGGAGATAATGCTTGAGAGTATATAAAACATTCATGTGCTTGAAAACCTAGGGGGCAGCCCTATGGCCTTAAGTTGCACCAGAAGAGGTTCAGGTTGGAGATTAGGAAACACTTCACAGAAAGACTGTTGAGGCACTGGCACAGGCTGCCCATGGGGGTGGTGGAATCACCATCTCTGGAAGTGTTCAAGAACTGTGGAAATGTGGCACTGAAGGATGGTTAGGAGGCATAGGGGGTGGGTTGATGTTCGGGCGTGATCTTAGAGGTCTTTTCCAATCTTCATGATTCTGTGGGACTCACATGCCCTATGGGTGCAGTGGCTGGAGGCCACTATTTGCAAAGCTTCACCTTCTGTCCAAAGAAGAGAAGTATTTGAATGAAAAGGAGCAGTCATGTTTCCTCACTATGTGAAATGCATCTTGTTTCCATTTTCTGCAGCCCAGTTGCAGTGCGAATCATCAACGATCAGCTGATGTTTATAGAAAGAGCTTTCATTGATCCTCTTGGCTTACCAGGAAGGAAGTTTTACAGGTGAGATAATAGCTTTCTTAACTTGTCCAAGTTCCTTAACTAAGTCCTCTAGCTCTTAAATTTCTTAGCTGTCCAAGGTGATTTTGGAGATGAATTCCACTCAAACAAGTCAGCCAGTTTAATTCCTATGTAGGCTGTAGGTAGGCATCATAGCTCAATGGATACTGTTTTAGGTATTATTCAGCAAGTAGGAGACTTTGTTGATAACTTGCCATCTGCACCACCCTCATTGGTCTTCCCAGTTCCAGCAGTCTATTAGCCAGGATACTCTGTGAAGTTTTTATACAGCCCATGAGCTGTTCTGTGGAGTCCTGTCCATCCCACCTTTAGTTGCTTGTTGTTGTCTTTAATCCTTAACCGGCTGTTATTGAAATTTTCTCTGTACAAGCCTGTGGGTGTGGAGGAAGGCAGTGCTTGATTCACCACCCTCTGTAGAAGTCCAATGCGTTTCTTAGTTCCACTTGCCAGAAGCTAGCTTCCAATGTCAGGTGCGCAACTGCCTCACTTTGCTCACAATATCCCCCTTTTTCCAATGGCTGGATACATCTGATGGCTGGATGCACCTGATTCACTGGCTGATGGCATTTGCACCATGCCAGAAATCTCTCAGGCAGAGGGACTTCCATCCTCCTAGGATAAAGTGTTCACACTTGTGTAACAGTGAAATGGTTGTTTTTCTGCAGTTCTTCTTGTGAACGTTGATTTATTGTTTATTTCTAGTTGGGGGGCATCTTTCACATACTACAAATGCACTTTTTTACCTTTTATGAACAAAATAAATTTAAAAGTAGGACTGCAATTATTCATTATTAAAAAAAAAAAAAAAGTTATGATTTTGTCCACTAAGGATCCCATACAATTAGTGCTCCTCTAAAGAATCCGTGCCTTTCTTACCAATTCTCCCATAGTTTTCCACATTCCTTTCCCAGATCTCACAGTTATCACTCATTTGCTGCATTATTTTTTGAGACTCGTGTACTTTTCTCCTCTGTTGTACACCCATTTGCTATTTTATTCCATGTTCTGTACTGTCACATTAGTTCAATATATTTGTTGAGCTCTCATTTACAAAAGTTCCTAACGTGGTTTCATTCCTAATTAGAGAAATGCACTGTGTTTTCCCAAGGAGAAGGTTCTCTGTGCTAAACCTGATCCCTTCCCTGTAGAGTTGGTCCTATGGGCTGGTCTGTTCTGTCTTTCTAAAGACAGTTCCAGCTAGACTACCTTTATATTTAGTGAATTCTAGTCATCTTGCAATTCTTTAAGCGTTTTGTAGCACACATTTTTACAGTTTCCCCCAATGAATGCACATAATACTCATGATTTTTTTACTTAGTATACTTGCACTTTTTTTTTTCCCCACAGACATGTCATCTTCGCTCCAAGCAGCCACAACAAATACACTGGAGAATCCTTCCCAGGTATCTATGATGCCATGTTTGATATTGAAACCAAAACCGATCATCAAGGAGCCTGGGAAGAAGTTAAGAGGCAGATTTCCATTGCAGCCTTCACTGTGCAGGCAGCTGCAGAGACACTGAAAGAAGTAGCATAGGATGATGGCCTGGAAAAATGCGCTGTAGGCAGACTACTGCAGTGACCCAGCCTCAGCTAACTGCTGCTGTCCCTGAGCTCCCAACCTTCGAGTGTTATCTTGGAGGTTTACACAAAGACTCATAACAGTGAAGTTCCACCACTCGGGCAGTTACTGTGTACTTCCATCCTGTAGTTGCTTTTTGGAAAACAGATTATGGGATAACTGAGAACTGAGATCTTTGCTCCTGTTGATGCTCTCGCCAATCCCAAACCAGTGGCAGCTTTTGCTTTTTTTTTTCTCTTCTGGAAGAGCTCTTTCACACAGTGATGTCCCTTCCAGATGAAGGGGGTGGATGACAGCATTGTCACTATTGCTGTAGGGCTGGATGTATGGAGTAATTCTGTCTTCTGATAAGAGAGTTTCCCATCAGGAGCTGCATGTAGAATCATACAATTCTTAGAGTTGGAAGGGATCTTTAATGGTCATCTAGTCCAACTCCCCTGCAATAAACAGGGTCATCTACAGCTAGATCAGGTGCTCAGGGCCTAGTCCAGTCTCACCTTGCAAGTCTCCAGGGACAGGGCATCCACCGCAACTCCAGGCAACCTGTTCCAGTGCTTCACCACCCTCACTGCAAAATACTTTTTCCTTATATCCCACTTAAATCTACCCTCTTTAAGCTAGAAGCTATTTCTCCTTATTCTATCACTACAGTCCCTGCTAGAGAGTCTGTGTCCCTCCTTCCTGTAGATCCCCTTTAGATATTGAAAGCTTAAACTGTACAAAAGTGTTTAATTTTTTAAAATTATATATATATAAAGTTTCATTTGCCTCTAAGTGTACCTCTGATCTGCTTTACAACTAATACAGTTGCTAGAATTTTATTAAATCACATTCCCGTTTGTGAGGGAGCCGATAATAAAAACTGGTAATAACCTTTTTTTTTTTCTTTCTGTTGTATAAAGTATGATACAGCTTTTCTCACAACCATAAATTGCTGCAGGTTGTGGGAATGAAGTGCTTTCTGTTTCATGGGGAGTGGAACAGGTGTGGTGCTAAAACAGACAGAAGTGCAAACAGGGCAGCGGACTCAACAGGCTACAGTAAGAGTTATTCTCAACCCAAATGTCTTGAATTCAGACAAGGGAGTCAGAAATTACAGTAGTTCAGTCCCTCGGGTGTTGGTTGCAGGGGAATGTGCTACCAAGAACAGTGACTCGACCATAACCACTCTGGTGACTGTTCCCTTTTCTTGGGTAGCTCTGCCTCCCTCATAGATTTATGTTATGTTATCAACAAGTAATTTATGCATCACTAGTAACTGAGACTTCCCCAGGGAGAGGTTCCAATGCTCGGATGGTGGAAGAAAAGCCACTGGTGCCTCTTCCTCATGAACAGCTGTTGGTGGTCACTGCCTGGGTCCTGTCAGAGGATGTGACAGAGAAAAAAGAAATATATGGAGTAGCATGATTTCTTCATAGTTGACAGGATCTTCATAATAAAATAAGCCACCTTTCATTTAAGTGAACGAATGCTCCACCAGTACACATATACTTTCAATGCAAGTTTGTGAAGCTCTGTGCCATTACCTCACCACTGCAAAGTGACCTGTCATCTCCTGTGGTTTCCATGCACTATTCGAAGCAGTACAAAGAGTGCCTAGCTAAAATCTATTGTTTCCTTCCCCTTCTCAACTTCACTGATAATTATGTATGAATGAATGAGTCATTATGACCTGCTACGTCCTGAAAACTCTGTGGAGCTTAGATCTCTTTCCCTTCCTCTGCTATGTTATAAAGGAATGATGATGCCCAAACACTTATAGATGGCTTATGCTCACAGACTCACAGGAATTTAAAATTGGCATTAATTTAAAATGATCTCCAAAAACACCTTGCAGATCTTAAGCTTAATGAAAACAGAAGCTGATGTGGTACCTTTGCAGATGAAGCATTTGGGGGTAAGTGAGACCAGTGCTTCTCTCAACACTTGTAATGCTTCGGTTTAACAACCCTTCCCAACACAGTCATTCATCAATAGACTGTTTTTGTGGAGCAATGAAACTGAGGTTTCCCTGTCCCACTATCCTGACTACTGAAGTACACCATCAATTTGTAATTTCTGGTTTTGTAAGTCTTCTCAATGACAGTGTTGTTCATCTGTTAGAACGGAGCCTCAAGCTGTCCATGGTTTGGATCCAACCAGGTTGCTTCAGCTGATCTCAGACTGCCTTCTTTTACAAGAGTGATAGAAACAGACCACACAGTGTAACTCAGGTACCTACTAAGGAAAAGGCACTGCAAGAGGAAGGTCCTAAAGCTATGAATCAGCCCATCAAGCATATGGTCACAATCAGTACTGGTGCTGTATACGCTGACTTCTGCACCAAGCCAATTTCTATAATTCAGTCCTTCTTCTATAGACAACCTGTAACATCTCTGCATGTTTGCAAGTGCCAAGAGAATGTGAACCATGTGGGCTGCCCATGATTTTGCTGCAGCAGAGGACCAAACCCCTCCTGTGAGCAGATTAAACATACCTGCTTTGTGCCTTTGCTTTGCTTTAGGAATCTGTGATTGTGAGTTTGCTGGGAAAATAACCTCTGTACTCTGAAACTGAGTACAAGGAAGCAGACTGGAATTTCCAGGCATCAGAAGCAACTGGAGAGCTGCCCTGAGCAGGGAGGAACAGGGTGTACTCACCATGACCTGTTAGTTTCCTCTCACTCTAAATTCCTGTTTTCAGCCATGAGATTTTAATGCCATACAGTTAAGTGTGCCATTACCAGACCTAGATGAAGGTGAACATCATGGACTACACTGTAGCACTGAATGCAAAAGTGAAATACAGAAACCTTGTGTCTGCTGTGCTGCTCTGACCCAAACCAAAGCAACGTGCTCCTTGCTGAGAAACACATCACCATGCAGCAACTATCCCTAGAGAAACTGCAACGAGACCAGAGCATTGCCATTGCATGCCTGAGACCTAAAGTAACACCAATAAAGTACACGTGGCTCCTGTTTAAGCCTGTAACTCAGCTGTAAGTATACAGCCTGCTAGACTTGAGGATCAAGAGAAGTGCAGCAGGGACATGAGTTTCTGGCGGAAATCGTTGGGAGAAGCACAGAAAGGCTTAGGACCTTGCAATGGATTGTTTCTATACTTGCTTGTGCCAGTTATAATCCATCAAGCCAAGGCAGCTCATATCAGTATCAACTGGTTTTCCTGATGGATCCAACCTGGGGAGCTTCCCAAGTGTAGGAGAACTGGGTTCAAGGAACCTCATACAGAAGAGGCTGGACCTGGTTCAAGTAAGAATGCGTTACAGCCTTCCATAAGGGGAAAGAACGTGAGAGGCGATAACGGGAAAAGCATTTCACAGGAGGGCAGCAGATAAGAATAGACTTGCTATGTTTACATGGCAGCTTCCCCAGATGTGCTCTGCTAGGCTGCTCGCTGACAGAAAGCTGCTGACGCACTCCTTACTCTGCCATCCCCATTACCTCCAAACTTGGCTGTCTTTTTAGGAGACAAGCCCCGGTTGCTGGACACAGCGACTGTTGTGGCAACACATCCTTAGGTAATCCACAAGCAGCAGGACGTCAGCCTGGAGAAACAGGGTCAGCTGCGAACACAGCACAGAAAGCTTTCGCTCCTCTGAGATCACTTTTCCCTCCTGATATTCCTGAAACCAGCATCTCCCTGCTGAACAAAGCAGCTGAGCTTCAGTCCTCTGGCACCTCCTACATGCCCTGAAATACTGACTGCAGCCCACAGCTCAGAGCTTTGCCACCCACTGTCACAGCTGTGGGATAAAGCTGAAACATCCTCCCACTCTTGTTATGTGCAGAAAGAAGCACACTTCACAATCAAAGCCAACCTTATTGTTAGTACCATAGAATCCTAGAATGGCCTGGGTTGAAAAGGCCCACAATGATCATCCAGTTCCAACCCCCTGCTATGTGCAGGGTCGCCAACCACCAGACCAGGCTGCCCAGAGCCACATCCAGCCTGGCCTTGAATGCCCGCAGGCGTGGGGCATCCACAGCCTCCTTGGGCAGCCTGTTCCAGTGTGTCACCACCCTCCGGGTGAAAAACTTCTTCCGAATATGTAACCTGAACCTCCCCTGTCTCAGTTTAAAATCATTCCTCTTGTAAACCATTCCCCCACAAGCTGCCTGACATGGCCCTGGGCACCCTGCTCTGGGTGTCCCTGCAGGAGCAGGGTGGGCCAGGTGACCCAGAGATCCCATCTCCTCTTAACTAGTCTGTAATTCTCTGTGTGATTCTTTTTCCATCAGCCAAACAAGCTAAAACAACCCACCAGGAAGGTGGGGAGCACTCCAACCAAGCAGACTTAGCGAGTCCCAAGAGACTGCAAGGCCAGAACGAAGCCTTGCTGCTAGCCATGGCAATGCTGTGCTCATGTAGCTGTTCGCGTAGATCTGCAGAGGGAGTACATGGGGAGAGCCCAAAATTTTCATAAACCATAAACAGGGACAGCTGTCTATACACTATCTAAAGACATACCCAGTTTTGGTAAACCTGAGGAACAGATGAAATGGACAGCTTTTCTCCTTTCACATAATTCTGCCTGAACATGCTTTAATTTTAGAAACATCTATCATTTCTAGCCACCTGCAGTCTGATAAATGATTTTTTGTTGGAGGGCTGTATGTCTATATGGGATTCAGAGAGTAACTGCAGAATTGAGCACTTGCTTCTTGGTCAGCACTGCACTCAGCCTTGTAGCAATTATCAGATGATATATCATAGCTAGCGCTCATTCTATACACAACCACATTCAAAATTTCTCAAATGGCTAGAATGTATGGAGACAAAATCAGAATTGTTTGAGTTGGATGGGACTCCTAAAGGTCATCTAGTCCAACTCCCCTGCAATCAACAGGGACACCAACAGGCAGATCAGGTTCAAAGCCCTGCTCAACTTGACCTTGGATACCACCAGGGAGAGAGCACCCACAGCTCTCTGTGCAATCTGTACCAGTGCTTCACCGCCCTTACTGAAAAAAACTTATTCCTTACATAGAGTCTAAATCTCCTCTCATAAAAATGAGGGTGCACAACAATGCCACAATTCAAACATGCATTTCAGTTAATAAGACAACTGTGAGGTGGAAAAACTCATGCAAATGGCACATTTTAGGTTTAGAACTATATATTCAATGTCTTAGTACTGCCACTCAGCAAAGTGCACGCCAGCTTTCGTTGAGCAAACCCCAACCACACCTCAGTTTTCAGGCAGTGGATCAACATAATGGTGCAATGATTTTAACAGGGTGATTTAAGAAAAAAGGACTAGAGAGGAATAGAAGTAAAATACGCTCCACTTACTTTTTCCACCTTTATCTTCTTTCAGTTGTTAAACCATGGCTCTTGGCAAGCATAAGCATCCAAATTAATTTATAAATTCACTGAAGTAAAAATTCTGTCACAGAAGCGCTGACAGGCTTCTGATTTTCAGAGCGAATATCTAAGAGTAATTCTGAACAGAACACCTCTGCTTAGGTTATACTCATGAGTACACAATCCAAATGTTAACAGCATCCACAAGTAAAAACAGAAGTTCTGAAGTTTGGGCTCTGTTTATACAGTACTACCTGATTACAAAAACTAAAAAGTCCCTCAGGGTGTGGAAGTGCAGAGTAGCAGGTGCCTCCAACACACAGATCTCAGTTTCAATAAAGGAAGAACAAATGAGGGGAAGCATATTAAGTTTGAAGCACAGTCAGTTTTACCTTAAGCAATGAATTCTGTTACAGTACTGTAGTATCAATATTTATGTCAAATTTAAAATAAACATTTCAGAGAACAAGGTTTTTGGATTACAGATATTTCGGATGGCTGAAGGTGCAGCGCTGCCTCCAGCTGACTTCCGATGATTTTTGGTTGCAACGCAGCTTTTATTAATATTTAACCAAGAGTGATTTTTTCAAATACTCAATGCAAGAGGATGCTTCCTCTCACACAGGAGCAACTAGATGCAAAAAAAAAAAAAAAAAAAAAAAAAAATCAAACACAAAAAAACACATTCTGAACATCCAGAATTGGTTGTCATATAGTGGATGATATTAAACTCATCATTCAACCTCAAGGAGAGAAGGTTTAGATTGGACATCAGGGGAAGTTCTTCACAGGGAGACTGGTGAGAGGCTGGAACAGACTGCCCAGAGGGTGTGGATGCTCCATCTGTGGTGGTGCTCAAGACCAGGATGGATGGGGCCCTGGGCAGCCTGGTCTAGTATTAAATATGGAGGGCGGTGGCCCTACCTGTGGAAGGGAGTTGGAACTCAATGATCCCTGCGGTCTCTTCCAACCCAAGCCATTCTGTGATTCTGTGACTGCTCAACTGCACGATGAGTTAAGCTGAATTAAAAACACATTCAAGCTTTTCACATACCTCTACATAACAGGAGCTGTTTCTACAACCCTTTTTCTCTTGGGCTCAAAAGACTGACTACAAATGCAAACTTGATGGCACTCATGGGCAGCAGTGTCTTCATTTCTGTTCGTGCTACCAAGAAAATAAAAAGGTCAGCAGTTCAACTGCAAATGTTGATTTTACAAACATCACTGGATGCTTGTGCCACTTGGCCACTGCATCCCTCACAGCCAACAACTTGTGGATAATGCCCACAGCATGTTAATAACTGCATTACAAATCAAAAGAGAAGTTCTCTCCTACAATAAAGTAAGTAAAAAAATCCGATTTTAACCAGCATGTAATAAGAATTTTATTGAGAAAAAAAGAAAACGAAGACATGAGATTAATTTCTGCATGAGTTTTATGAATGTGCAGAATCAAATAACCATGCAAAAGGACATTTTCCACCCTCCCCCAACCGTAATTCAAGACTCTTATTTATGACAAAATTATCATTTCAAACAGTGTTCCAGACACGTAACTCATTACTTTAAATATGATCTCTCTCTTTCCTGAACAGAGACAAAAACAAACAAACAAACAAAAAAATAGTAGCAACTGGAGAACACCATTGATTAACGGGTAGAGTACTTAACCAATAATCATGCCAGTTTTAAAGAATGCAAGCAAAAAAATGCATTGTTACATAGAATAAGTAGCTGTTTTTTTTCAAGGCAAAATCCTATTCAAAATAGAACTAGTCCCTAAATTATTGAAATGGTGACTTGATAGTGCAAGTGCTCCAGAAGATCATCAGATGGAAGGATTTTTGTAAAGTTACATCAGTGCCATGTAAAATGTCAGAGCAGCTGAACAGCCCAGTGCTTAACAGTTCTAGCATTAAAACTAAACTACATCCAAGGAATGTTCTGTTCCAGATATGCAGTGTAACAGTAAATAGGAAAATGGGCCTAAACACGAAGGAAAAGATTAGAATTTGTCACAAATTGGTACATACACATACTGCTTTTCTTATTAAAAACACGTTATGAAGAAAAAGCTTGACATGCACCTGGACAGGTCTATCTGAGACATGTAACACTGTGTTACATAAGGTACACTGTGCTACCGTATGGGTTTGAAGTCTTACAAATTATAAAATTATAGCTAAACCATTAACCAACTTGTTAAATACAGCACAACGTCCAAGAACATGGAAAAGAGGGTAAATTAAACTGCAAATAACCCAGTATGTATTTGTTTGCACTACTGAATTTCACCATTATCAAACAAAAAATGCTTATCTTAGCTTTGAAATCTTGCTTTGGAGAGGTATTATGATTCGTTTGGTATACCACACTTTTTTTCCCCCTCATTTACTAATAAAAGTCACAGTCAAATCCACATACCATTGCAGTGTCAGCTCTCAGTAGCCATGTAAAGGTATCAGACATCAGTGTGCTAAATACTGTGCTGTGTACCACTCAAAGCACTCAGATTCAGCAAGTACACTCAGCAAGTTTTTGTAACTTGATGATGGTAAAATGAATTTAAAAAGCTGCAA